AATTCAGAACCTAACGAAAAGAAATATTTCATTGTATTCGTTTATTAAGTTATTGTAAACGTATATACAATATATTTAATGGACTAGGTTAAATGAAATTGTGCCTGTTATAATAAGGTTAGATAAGTTTCCTAAGGTTTTTTGGTACAAAATCCTTAATTTTTATATTACATGAATGAAAAAAAATCTCTAAAGGAATAAGTGAAAATTTTAGAAAGGACTTAAATTTCAAAAGAGTTCATTTTAATTGACCAGTTTTAACTAACTGACCAGTTTTACTAGTGCGGGTTATTTGTGAAATATTTCCCTTATTCCCTTCACTTATTCTGTCACTTATACCTTGTTGCTGAACAGAGAAATTTCCCTTCACTGTGAATATGCAGTCCACAACACTCAGTGTAACTAGCTGGATGATAATATCTTTGGGGTACCGAAAAGGGAAATTATAAAGTACTTCCTCGAGTGGACAGCACAGTAACATTAAAACTCACAAAAGATCATTCGTAATGTTCAAACTCTGAAGTCTCTAAGATCCTCACAGATTTTTTATTTGAACTTCCAAAATCTTACCAGTTATTGGAGGTTAACAAAATGGTTACTTTGACAAGTTATATACTGCAGAACTGACAGCCAATTACAGGCTGTACTGGTAACCTGATTTATAGGTTTAAATTGTTCCATACATGGAACGTGGCAGATCTGGCTAACAATTTTACAAGTTCCTCACTTCTTTTTGTAAGTATTTTCAACCGCTTATTGAAACTGTTGCTGACTTGATAATTCGCAATGACTGTCTGTCAATAAATAAACAGGAGAATGGATGGGGGACTCGAACCTTGGCGCTGACACGCAGCAGGTCCGTTGCTGTACCACTGAGCTGAGACTTTCATTAGGAAGGTTTCACATATTTGCCTCAGTGGCCACCAACTGTGACCTCACTGTCGCTTCCCACAGCCCCACAAGTCGGACCGAAACGTCGTCGTAAGCTCCTCTATGTGCTGGTTATTTGTGTATTGTGTATTCTGTTCTAATAACTCTCAAAGCCATATAGCCCATAACTCAAGATAAATCGTAAGGAACGATTGTTAGTGAATGAACAGAAGAATGGAAAGAGACTAGACCTATTATCTTGACACGTAGCAAGTCCAGTGTTGTACGACAGGGCTAGAGAGACTTTCCAATAGGAGGCTGTCACATTCAGCAGTAAGGTCATCATATGTGACCTTACTATCCGATCCATCATCCCAAAAGCTTTCATAATCCACCTTTCCTCCTGTCTCCCAAAGTTATATACGTAATCCATACTCACAAGAATGGACGGGAACAAGACCCGTGGTTTTCAGTGGTTCAGAGAACCTTCAGGTTGATAAATTAGACACATGTGCAACACTTGGGTATCTGTAATTAGGAAGCGTTGTATGAAGCTTCTGTGTGGCGAAACGTTTCCTCATTGAAGATACCCAAGTGTTGCACATATATCTAATTTATCAACACCGTGGTCCTGACACTCAGCAGGTCCAATGCAGTACCACTGAGCTACGAGGATTTCAATTAAAGTTTGACAGACTTCTGTAAGGAACGAACGTAACAATTCTATGGAAGGCCGAGACTAGATCCCGTGGGTTGCCAATCCTCGTATGTTAAATCTCCCACTCTACCACTGTTTTACAAATGGTAACAAATACTGTTCCAACTAGAAACTGGTTCAAATGGAAAAGTTAGTGCCAGGCACTGTTATCACTCCATCCCTCCAGTAACTTATGGTAGGTCTAGACCTTGTCTCTTCTGCATTTATCAATTATTTGATAATTCGTCAAATGGGGGTCATCCACATATCATGCATTGGGTTGGATGAGATGTGGAAGGTGATGGGTAAGTGATCAGAGCGGGAGAGCTCAGCTCCATGGTCTGGAACATGGAGCTGAATTCTTCTCCAGGATGAGGGACTGACCACCTTACCCAATTTCTCCGAAGTTGATGGACTGATTACATCTTCTTTCGTCGTCACATTGGCTGCCTACAATCTATTCTCAGTATTTGAATAAAGAAGTTTACAGCGTAGGCGAAACGTTTTAACAAAAAAACTACCCAACTCATCAACTTGTCGGTATTTTATAGTATTTACAACATATACCACAGCACTGCAGAAATGCTTTACACAGGAGAGGTTAATACCAGTCACTGACAGGTCTCTTGATGCAGTTTTTATCACTCTGTGTAATACAATAACATAAGTGTTGGAAATGATGGCTGTCCAGAGCAACTGGTATTAATTTTTGGGTGGACAAACATTCTAAGGATACTGGAGTGATGTCATAATTTTTTGGAATAACAGTCAACAAGTAACATTCGATAAAGATAACAGAAATTTTGGAAAAGCAAAGTTGAATAAGGAAAATGTGCGGAGGATAAAATTTAACATAGTTTATACTAACAGTCGAAGCGCCTAGAATAAAATTAATGAATTACGTCTGGTAGCAAGAGCAGAAAATATTGATGTTATAGCATTAACTGAAACTTGGCTTAATTTAAAGAATCTGGACATGACTGTTCCAGGTTGATGGAAATAACGGGAAGTGGGGTGAGGGTACCATTATGTCCGGGATAACACGAATGGTTGCATAAAATTAGCCATAGAAGTCTATGGATTAGACAGAATTTGATTCGGTAGAATTTGTAGGCCAAGAAAAAATGATTTTAGGTGTTATGTACCGACCCCCTAACATGGTAGTACTTGACCTTAAATTTGTAGTTCAGTGACTAGTTCAGTGTTGCTTCTTAAAACAGTATGTAACATAACCTACCACATGTAATAATCTGCTAGACCTGGTTTTACCAAATAAGGAAAAACCTCATTAATAATCCAGAGATCACTGAGGAGCTAAACACATGTTAGCACATGATAACATGTGTTAAGATACATGAATAACGATTTTCGTTCAGCCGGTTATAATGGACTTAGGGAACACTTGTCCAGCTTTGACTGGAGATATCTGTCTGATGTTTCTGTTGACGACGATACTTACAATCATGAAAGGTTTTACGATTATCACTTTTTTCTTTATAATTTACAACGCTGAAGACTAAGACACTTGTAAAACATTTGGGAATTTTCATTACGGAGATGTATTGCCAGCCAGTGGCTTCTTCAGTCCAGTACAGAGGAGAACGGTGGAAGATGGGGAGAATTTCGAGGTAATTAGTCTTTGATAGAGTACCTCACAAGAGATTGTTAAGAAAATTGGCAGTTCATGGTAAAGGAGAAGTTCTAGCATGAATCAAGGTATCGCTGACCGATAGAAAGCAGAGAGTTTGCATTAATGGGGACTGGTTACTAGTGACGTGGAACGTCACTAGTAACCAGTTTGTAAAGTAAAAGGACACAAGTGCAACTAATGTAACATTTTACTGTGGCAACGTTTCGCTCTCCAGGAGCTTTATCAAGCCATTACAAACAATACATGGACACAGAGGGTATATAAAGGCTCAGAGTGAGGTGCAATACTAGTGAGGTACCATTTAGATGTTCACTAGTGGTGGTAGTAGTAGTAGTAGTGACAAAAGTAGTAGTAGTAGTAATACAATGTGGTAGAACAATTAATTCGTACATGAGTAAAAGGATATAAAAGCTATTACTTGGGTAACATAAAAATAGGTTGGACAAATATAGACTGGAAAGAGGCAGCTTGTTTCAGTGTTCACTCTCTGTAATGTGCTTTGTGTAGTATAACAGGAGAGACTATGTGATGGCAGGGTTTACTGTTTTCAGGAGGATTCTTGCTAAGACTTCAGAGATGGTGAAGCTGCCGTTGTTTTGTTTAATTGTATTCGAAACAGCGATCAGTGCTGATTCGAGGCACTTGCGTCTGCGGAAATTAGTTTCTTTAATCACTAATTGGGCGTCTCTGAATTTCATGAGATGACTGGTAGAATTTCGATGTTGTACACAGGCGTTGTTCAAGTTATCGTTCCTACATGCGTAAATGTGTTCATTGAGGCGGGTGTCGAGGTTTCTTGCTGTTTCACCTACGTAAATCTTGTCACAGCCTCCACAGGGTATAGTGTAAACTCCTGCGTTGACTGGTTCGTGGTGCTTGGATTTTGTTCTGGTTAGATCCTTTATTGAAGTGCTAGAAGCACTTATTACAATTAGTAACCAGTTGTTCATAATATGCATTAATGACCTTGACGAGGGAATAACGAGTGACATGAGTAAATTAGCTAATAACACAAAAATAAGCCGAATAGATTCTGAGGAAGAGAGTGAGCTTGAGGAGGCTTTCTTACTGCGCTGCTCACTCCAGTCCCAGTACCTGACTTACTGACCTGCCTCATGGAAGTACTTAACAACTTACCTATGCCATACCACAAGGATGTTATCATTTAACTAGCTAAAATGTGTAGTGGACTGCAAATTCGCATTAAAGATAAAGTTGGATGCCAAAAGCCAAAGATGGCGATGGTAAACCCATTGTTTCCTGTAATATGAACTTGACGATAAGTAAGACACTAAGTGTCAGTTTTGGGTTTATATCTTGGAATATTTGGTCAGATCTTTGAGAACAAACAGTTAATCAAACAAAAATCTCATTCAGTGGCATAAATAAGATCTGTGAAGCTACAGGTAACACTAAACATGGAAACATTGACAGTGTTGTCCAGACGATCCACTACCACGTACCTGACAACATCATTCTCTCAACACTTTAGAGACAAACTTTCCTGTGTAATAATGAACGTTCACTACAGTTACTTTGTTATGAGTTCTTCTTTTTTATTCTTTTAATTTTTCTCTTTTCTTTTTTCTGTATTAATTTGATATTTAGCGAATGTTTAGATCTGGTTCTAGTAATTTATTTTCAATGATTTTGTAGAGTGATAATGGAGTAAGTTAAGAATATCTTTGAGGTTGACGGCAACTGTTAGATACTGTATAACTACCAGTATTGTTTTATTTGTCTTAAAGTTAGAAGTATCACTGATAATTTCACCTATAACAGGTTATCAATCCAGTCCCTGGGTAATGAGACGGTGAGACTATCACCACAACATCTCATCAGCTGCGACAGACGAGGTCAACGAGGGTGTCGGGGAGGACACGTGGACAGGGCCTGGCAATACCTCAGGAAATTTGGGTGAGTCCTGCATGATAAAGTTCTGTCTTTTAGAAAATAAACACAGGTCATTTGCACAGACGAACTCACATCCCTGCCTGATGCCAGGCAGGGACCCCTGGTGCCAGGTAGTGACCCCTGGTGCCAGGCCGGTACCCCTCATGCCAAGCAGGTACTCCTGATGCCAGGCAGGGACTCCTGATACCAGGCAGGGACCTCTGGTGCCAGGTAGGTACCCCTGATGCCAGGCAGGCACCCCTGATGCCAGGCAGGGACCACTGGTGCCCGGAAGTGACAATACACGTGATAAGTGACAGTAGTGACACAGGTAAGGCGGCCACATCCCCTCCAAGTTGCTTGTCAAGCAGATGGTGTTTGGAAGAGACGTAATCAACCTACAATTATTAAACAATCCACCATAATGGCTTCCTATCACATACATAAACCCTCCACCATAATGGCTTCCTCTCACATACATAAACCCTCCACCATAATGGCTTCCACTCACATACATAAACCCTCCACCATAATGGCTTCCTCTCACATACATAAACCCTCCACCATAATGGCTTCCACTCACATACATAAACCCTCCACCATAATGGCTTCCTCTCACTTACATAAAACTCATCATAATGGCTTCCTCTCACATACATAAACCCTCCACCATAATGGCTTCCACTCACATACATAAACCCTCCACCATAATGGCTTCCTCTCACATACATAAACCCTCCACCATAATGGCTTCCTCTCACATACATAAACCCTCCACCTAAGGCGTCACTCACATACATAAACCTCCACCATAAATGGCTTCTCTCACATAATAACCTCCACATAATGGCTGCCATCTCCATACATAAACCCTCCACCATTAATTGCTTCCTCTCACATACATAAACCCTCCACAGAATGGCATTCCTCTCACATAATAAACCCTCCACATAATGGCGTCCTCTCACATTACATAAAACCCTCCACCTTAATGGCTTCCTCTCACACTACTTAAATAAACTCCATCATAATGGCCTTCCTCTCACATACATAAACCCTCCACCATAATGGCTTCCTCTCACATACATAAACCCACCAACATAATGGCTTCCTCTCACATACATAAACCCACCACCATAATGGCCTATGATAAAGTAAAATTAGAATGTTTTGTACAATAATAATAATAATAATAATAATATTAATAATAATAATAATAATAATATAAATATAATAATAATAATAATAATAATGATGTGAAGATTTTCAATTAAAACATCTGTGTTGTTTACACTTTATTGGTGTTACATGACACTGGCAGGTATTGGTACTACATGACACTGGCAGGTATTGGTGCTACATGACACTGGCAGGTATTGGTGCTACATGACACTGGCAGGTATTGGTGTACATGTCATGGCACGGTTATTGGTGCTACATGACACTGGACTGGGTAGTGGTGCTACATGACACTGGGAAGGTATTGGTACGACATGACATGGCAGGTTTTGGTGCTACATGACACTGGCAGGAATTGGTACTACATGACACTGGCAGGTATTGGTACTACATGACACTGGCAGGTATTGGTGCTACATGACACTGGCAGGAATTGGTACTACATGACACTGGCAGGTATTGGTACTACCTGAACCTGGGCAGGTTTTGGTACTAATGACATGGCAGGTATTTGGTACTACATGGTGACACTGGCAGGTATTGGTACTAATGACACTGGCAGGTATTGGTACTACCTGAATGGCAGGTATTGGTGCTACATGACACTGGCAGGTATTGGTACTACAGGACACTGGCAAGTATTGGGATCATGACACTGGCAGTATTGGTATACATGACATGGCAGGTTATTGGTGCTACATGGATACTGGCAGGATGGTGCTACATGACACTGGCAGGTATGGTGTACATGGACACTGGCAGGAATTGGTACTACATGACACTGGAAGGTATTGGTACTACATGACACTGGCAGGTATTGGTACTACATGACACTGGCAGGTATTGGTACTAATGACACTGGCAGGTGTTGGTTGCTACATGACACTGCAGTATTGGTACTTACATGACACTGGACAGGTTTTGGTGCTACATGACACTGGCTGGAATTGGTACTACATCGACACTGGAAGGTATTGGTACTACAGACAAAGGCAGGTCATTGGTACTACATGACACTGGCAGGTTATTGGTATACATGACACTGGCAGGTATTGGTTACTACATGACATGGCAGGTATTGGGATACATGACACAGGTAGGGGTATTGGTGCTACATGACACTGGCAGGTATGGTACTACATGGCCATGGCAGGTATTGGTACTAATGGACATGGCAGGTATTGGTGCTACATGGACACTGGCAGGTATTGTGCTTACATGACACTGGCAGGTATTGGTGCTACATGACATGGAGGTATTGGTGCTACATGACACTGGCAGGTATTGGTGCTACCATGACACTGGTCGGTATGGTACTACATGACACTGGCAGGTATTGGTACTACATGGACACTGGAGGTATTGGTGCTACATGGGAACTGGAGGTATTGGTGCTACATGGACACTGGGCAGGTATTGGTTGCCGACATGACACTGGCAAGTATTGGTACTACATGACATGGCAGGTATGGTGCTACATGACACTGGCATGTTATTGGTACTACATGGACATGGAGGAATTGGTACTACATGACATGGCAGGTGTTGGTGTCTACTATGGACATGGCAGGATTGGTGCTAGCATGACATGGCAGGTATTGGTGCTAAATTGACACTGGCAGGTATTGGTGCTACATGACACTGGCAGGTTTTGGTAATACATTGACTCCGGCAGGTATTAGTATACCTTGACATGGCGGTATTGGTGCTACATGACACTGGCAGGTATTGGGGTACTACATGACACTGGCAGGTTTATTGGTGTACATGACTCTGGCAGGTCTTGGTTACTACATGACACTGGCCAGGTATGGGTTGCTACATGGACACTGGCAGGTTATTGGTGCTACCATGACACTGGCAGGGTATTGGTGCTGTACATGACAACTGGAGGTATTGGTATACATGAACTGGAAGGTATTTGGTACTACTGACACTGGCAGGTATTGGTACTACATGAACTGGCAGGTATTGGTTACTACATGACACTGGAAGTATTCGTACTAATGACACTGGCAGGTATTGGTTACTACATGAACTGGCAGGTTTTGGTGCTATGACACTGGCAGGTTTTGGTACTACATGACACTGGCAGGTTATTGGTACTATTGACACTGGCAGTATTGGTACTACCATGACAATGGCAGGTATTGGTTGCTACATGACATGGCTGGTTATTGGTGTGCTACATGACACTGGCAGGTATTGCTACTACATGACACTGGAGGTATTGGTTACTACATGACACTGGCAGGTATTGGTATAAATGACCTGGCAGGTATGGTATTAACTCAATGACAATGGCAGGTATTGTGCTACATGACACTGCTGGTATTGGTACTACATGGACATGGCAGGTATTGGTACTACATGACACATGGCATGGGTATTGGTGTAATGACACTGGCAGGTATTGTGCTACTTGAACTGGCAGGTATTGGTACTACATGACACTGCGACAGGTATTGGTGCTACTTGACACTGGCAGGTATTGGTGCTACATGACACTGGAGGTAATGGTGTACATGACATTGGCAGGTATGGTGCTACTGACACTGGCAGGTATTGGTGCTACATGACATGGCAGGTATGGGACTACATGACACTTGCAGGTATTGGTGTACATGACATTGGCAGGTTATTGGTGGCTACAGGACACTGGCAGGTATTGGTGCTCCAGTGCATATGGCAGGTATTGGTGCTACATGACATGGCAGGTATTGGTGCTACATGACACTGGCAGGTATTGGTGTGTGCTAATTGACAATGGCAGGTTTGGTTACTAATGACATGGCAGGTATTGGTATAATACATGACATGTAGGTATTGGTTCTACATGTCATGGCAGTATTGGTGCTAAGACAAAAAAAAAAATGGCAGGTATTGGTACTTACATGACACTGGCAGGTATTGGTACTACATGACACTGGCAGGGTATGGTACTACATGACAATGGCAGGTATTGGTACTACATGAGATTGGCAGGTATTGGTGCTCCATGACATGCGGGCAGGTTTTAGGTAAACTACATGACATTGGCAGGGTATTGGTGCTACATGACAATGGCAGGTAATTGGTATACATGACACTGGCAGGTATTGGTACTTACATGACACTGGCAGGTTATTGGTGCTACATGGACATGGCACGGTAATTGGTACTACATGACACTGGCAGGGTATTGGTGCTACATGACACTGGCAGGTTTTGGTACTACATGACAATGGCAGGTATGGTGGGCTCATGACACTGAGCAGGTATTGGTGCTAACATGACACCTGGCAGGTCATTGGTGCTAATTAGCTGGCAGGTAATGGTACTACATGACACTGGCAGGTATTGGTGCTACAGACCGGCAGGTATTGGTGCGACATGACAATGGCAGGTATTGGTGCTAAATGACACTGGCAGGTATTGGTGCTACATGACACTGGAAGGTATTGGTACTACATGACACTGGCAGGTGATTGGTCTTCTAATGACACTGGCAGAGTATTGGTGCCTACTTGACACTGGAAGGTATTGGTGCTACATGACACTGGCGGTATTGGGGGCTACATGACATGGCAGGTATTGGTGCTACATGACCTGGAAGTTATTGGTAATATGACACTGGAGTATTGCGCCGCTACATGAACAATGGCAGTATTGGGGCTACCATGACAATGGCAGTGTATTGGTGCTACATGACACTGGCAGGGTATTGGTTGCTAAATGACACTGGCAGGTAGTGGTGACATGCAAATGGCAGGTATGGGTGCTACCATGACACTGGCAGGTATGGGGCTACATGACAATGGCTGGTATTGGTGTACACGACAATGGCAAGTATTGGTGCTTCTTGACATT